CTCACCGATGGAAAGGAAGTTACAATTGAAGATTGGCGTTCAAATAAATTATCTTCTGATATTAGAGTGTGTTCTGTCCTTTTCCAGAAACCTTTTTATAACTATTCTGGGGCTATATATAACAATAAAGGGAAAAATAGATATTATATGAAATTGATAAGTAATAGTATCAGTAATAACAATACATAAAAATATATAATGTACTCTGTTATTTATGCGCGCACGTACACATATATACACACACATATACTTACCGATGGAAAGAATGTTACAGTTGAAGATTGACGTGGAAGTAAATCTTCTGATATTAAAGCTTCTTCTCTCCAATTTTGCGGCTAATGAAGGAAAAAATATATGACAATATTACATGAAATTGATAAGTAATAATAACTGTAATAATAATAAGTAAAAATATATAATGTAGACACATAGTCACGTATACGCGCGCGCACACATACATACAAATACGCACACACGACACGCATACACTCACGGAAAGATTGTTATATAAGAAATATGTTCTAAACTTGATTAAGTTATACAGATAATCAAACTTCTGCGCATACCCGAGCAGAAATTGAATCTAGTGATTGTCTAGTAATGACATAGAAAAGTTGGGTCTTATATCGCTACTAACTAGGAATGTAACGCTCACTTCTCCTAGTGGCTGTACCAGAAAAATTATCTAGTAGCTAGATACAAAAAAATAACTTGTAACTATAATTGGTATAAGTACTAGATAGTTCTAATGTCCAAATCCTATTCAGGATTTACCGATGATTTTCTATCTCGTTACTGTGTAATCATTTTCCATCTAGCCACTATCTATGTAACTAGTATAGTTACTAGATAGTCCTGACATTCAAAAGACTGAGTAGGAATATTTAGCCAGTCACGAGCTAGTGACTGGCTAGAAAAGTTATCTAGTCATTACTATCTAACTACTAGTCTTGAAATCTGCTCTACTAGATACATTTTTGCTCGGGTATTTCGAGCCTTCTATAAGTTTATGATAGCAAAAAGGCAATAAATTTTATGTAAGATCTATTCTATTATATTGTGCCACGAAGACTATAATAGAGTTTGCTGACAAGCAATCTGACCACACTTATTGCAAAAACTGAAGAAAGCAAAGCCTGTAAAGATTTGATACGAACAAGCTGTACAACTTACACAATTTTCGTTGCTATTCCGCAAACATTGTCTGGCAGTAGACTAAAACACAAGTTGAATGCCATAGCTATGGTCTGGAATTGTTATAAAATTTATTACCAATTTGCGTGCAGTCTACAATCAATTTCCTTACTGAAATTAATTCATAGACAACAAAATGTAATGTACTACACCAACTTCTGCAGGATCGATGACATTTAAATGACCTCTTATTGATTCAATTCCCATCAATGCTATTAATCTCTTCTCTGTTTCATGCAAGGAGACTGCTGAGGGACCTCCTCCTCCAGTTCCTCTTTGGCTTTTTAGTTTTGCTGCTTTGGATTTTACATCAATTCTCCAATCTCTCCATGACTATATATAAAATGCATAAAAAATATTTTATTATGTACATGCATTTTATAAAATTGTTATTTATTATTATCTATTTTTTGCAGTTAAAAAAAACTGTATATCATATATAATACAACTATAATACAATCAATACCTTTATCCATTTTTCTGTACATTTTGTTGTTCCATGACCACAGCTATTCAACAAATTTGTTAATTGTTCCCAAAGATGTGCTGCTCGCTTACGTGCATCAAGATGGATTCGATTATGTGCTAGATCAGGATGCTCCTCCATAAACTGAATCATTATTTCACGTTGTTCCAGAGTAGTTCTTTTCCTACCCTATCATTCAAAATTAAAAAGGTTTTAAAAATGAACATTATAGTATATATCCACTTTATTTACTGCATAGTTGCATTAAGACAATATTAATAAGTAATTATATGTCACTAATCCTAATAATTGTCACAAATGTAAATAATTATGCTTATATAATGGTATTCTGAATTCACTTTTATTGCCAGAAGTATATCTAAAGTAGCTTACAATTAATGAAAAAGTTTATAAGCCATTTTCACAGATATTTTTAGTGATAAAAGAAAGTTCAAAATATAGGCTTAAGTGTAACATATATAAATATATAATATATAGAGGTTATATATATATATATATATTTATTTATTTATTTATATTTATATAGTATGTGTAAAATATAAATATATAAATATATAAATATATATATATATATATATATATATATATATATATATATATATATATTTTACACATACTTTCTTCAAGACATATATTTTTAAGAATGTCTATAAAGGAAAATATTTCATAACTTTAGTTGAGGTTAAAATTAAGATTACATCCATTGCTTACTCTTCTATCTCGTCAAAGTTATTTATTTATCGTATTTATAATATATTATTTTCCACAATAATTATATAACAGATTTAATATTTTTAATATAAAATTAAAATATGTTACTTACGTAATCTGTCATTTTGCCGGTATTTATGGGCACCTATTATGAAACTTTTAACGATTCCGATCGGAAATGCCACGTTCCGACTGGCGAGTTTTCGACTACGATTCCGTTTATGCATTTGTGCTATTATGGATTCCGAGATGAATTGGATTTCCGCACGTTGTAATCGGAATTAAACGAGACAAGAGGAATGAGTGGAATTATTTACTTCAACCAATCGCAGTATAGAAAAAATAAATAAAATCAGAAATACCAACAAAATGGCAGATTACGTAAGTAATATATTTTAATGTTATATTAAAAATATTAAATCTGTTATATAATTTTTGTGGAAAATAATATATTATAAATACGCTAAATAAATTTGGAATTCCTACAGCTTTTCTCCGTAAAGGAAGATGTGGCTCTAAGTCCCGAACCACAATAGGTGTAGCAAGCTTTAAAAAACATATATACACATACACAAAAAATTATTTTTTTATATGCTGATTTTTTTTTAATAAAATATTTTTCTAAAAAATGTATAAACAAAAGCCATTTTCATCCAAGAATAAAATAAGATTTTTATTATTTTGACCCATTAGATTGCTCTACTGAGAAGTAATCTTACTAAAAAATTATGATTCTTATTTAAAAACTGTATAAATATATATAAAATTAAAAATATTTTCAATACTTACCATTATATTAATTTTTAATTTAATAAGGTAATTGCAGCAACACTGTCATCACGATATAATAAAATACAATTAATTGCGAGAAATATTTAATAAAAGGAACAAACGTTAATAATTATGAAGTTTACATAACTTTTATAATATTATTATATATATTACAATTTTACTACCGCTTTACGTAAATGTGTTCACTGCTTATCGTCTATTGGTTCTTATAACTATATTCCGATCGGAATCGACTTTCCGCTTGCTCGCAAGGTGTCGGTAACTTTTCGATCATTTCGGATATAATTCAAATGTCCATAATATCATAATTGTCGGAAAATGGAATCATTCCGATCGGAAACCTTCCCCAGTTTCATAATAGGTCCCATCATTTTACTTATTTTTTATATACTGCGATTGGTTGAAGTAAATAATGTCACTCCTTCCTTTTGTTTCGTTTAATTCCAATTACAACGTGCGGAAAGCCAATTCCGCTCGAAATCTATAATAGCATTAATGCATCAACGGAATCATAGTCGGAAACTCGCCAGTCGGAACGTGGCATTTCCGATCGGAATCGTTAAAAGTTTCATAATAGGTCCCCAGGCCTCGGAATTTTTGTCACATTTCGAACTGATTTCAGACGCGACGCCCACCGCTGCCCCACTCTCACTCGAGCCTCAGCGGCCGAGCCGCCGATTGCTCTGCCTCAGGAGTGTTGCTGAGTAAGAAATACGTATGTACCGCTTCTGTGTGTGCCAATCTGTTATTAAAATTTTTACTTCAATATATACAGGGTGGACCATTTTAATCCATCCAGTCGAATATGTCGAAAACCAAGCACGGGAGAGCAAAATGTTTCAGACAAAAGTTGTAAGGCTTAAAAAAACACATTCAACAATAGTAGTTATTTGACATAGGATGGCGTCGCCAAGGTCAGAACAAGGTCAACTTTGCTTTTT